CGAAAACAGGTATTTGCTTCGAATGCTTCTTAAATAAAGTTATAAACTTTTGATTTCCATTCCGTGTAAGAACTGTTGTCAACGCAACAAAGAAATTATTAACATGTAAATCGCGTGATTGTACTTGGTTAACTTATAATTAAATTAGCATAATTTTACCCTGATCAGGTAGAAAAGAAAAATATATCTAAATTAAAGCGGCACTATATAACGTCGTTTATACCACATCCTCCAAGCTACAAATCCTACTTGTAGTTCCTTTTTCGTAATTTTTAACCTTCTGTTGTTTTTGAGTAGTGGTTAGATTTGTGGTTTGTTTTCAGATATGATTTACTTAAACTTATATCTCAGTTGATATACATGTTGCAATTAAAAATGATATCCAATCATAGATAACAGATATGTAACTAAGTGACTTTTAAGTCGCAAAGCCTATTTTGCGCTACATCGATCGGACATAACGAAAACTTACAACTTATTTTACTTAGTTTTCTGTTTATATTAAATCAATTTTCAAAAATATTTTGCTACATGCATTCGATCATCCAAATATTTATCTCCCGTTCAGTGTAGTGAACTGTGTAACCATCAAAACAGTTTTTGTCATAAGATTACGTTACATATAGAAAGCAAGAGGGCAAAAGTACCCTGTTGTTTCGGTTGTTTCAAAACTGTGCAAAGATCTCATCCAAGTTTAAACTAATTCATCAATCAGTTTAGTGAGTTTGTTATTCATTCGGTGAAAAACGCGTGACCGAGTACTTAAGTCAATGGTATTTAAATAAATATATTTACAAGCTTCCGTACAGCCACCCGTTCGATAAATCAAATATTGACTTTATGCACTAGGTAACGCGAATGTCGTGAGCTGATCTATCATGTTATTATGATTAAAATGATAAATGAATGATTTGAATAGAGAAAAAAAATGAGTCTGAGGTTTGAATGAAAGGTTTGAACACGTTTTGGAATCGCGGGTTACAGAAGTACTTGCCCTGCAAAAACAGAGATACCCTTCTCTTTCAGCAGAAAGAGAAGAGAATTTTTGTCTCGCAAGGTGAAAATTAAATAAAGTAACTGACGAACCAAATATATTGTTTTTATATCACTAGGACTGTATTGCTGTTTAAGCTTATTGGCTTTTATTTTTCTTTCTAAATGGGCGTTGTATATTTTTGTTTACCAAA